GAATTAATGTAACAATGATATATTACGGGTTAAATGGTAATGCTTGACAAGTCCGGTGGAATAGAAATTATTACGAAAATTTCGTGATAAGTGAAAAGCATTTTGGCTGGCTTATCACAGCCTTATGTAGAAGAGCGGAGGTGTTCAGGTAGTAAAAGTATAAATCTATAAGTCCAGTGCTTACTCGTTTAGTAACACACTGTTTGATTGCGTTTTGTATCCCCTGGCTAACAAGTCGTAGAATGAAATACAAATGAGGCTACATATAGTCAAGTCGTTCTCTAACTATCGCTAGATTTGGGGCAGAGACGACATAATTTGGAAAAGCGTTCCAAGACTAACATACTCTTGGTGAAATGAAATTTCGACTGCATTCAATCCGGCTATACTTTATTATCAGTTTCAGAGGATGACCTCTTAGTTTAGTGTTGTGGTTCAGTTTCAGCAGCTTGGAGTAAATGTTATTTGGGTTCATCCGTATCTGGTAAACCAGTGTGATGTTTCCCTAAAACTCCGGTATCTACTGCTGTACCTTCTTAGAGACTTTAGTCTAAGCTGATATGGCAGGTTAATAAGGCAGCAGACTTTCGTGGGTGCCCACCGTTGAGCAGTTTCGAGGACAACACGATCCTGTTTCTGCCACGGCTGCCACATCTAGATAGCATATTTCACGTGCGGTTGCACTTGGGTATTAAGCATGTGTAGGAAGCTTAAGGGATCAAAGCTACCAAAAGCTTCGCGAAGAAGGCCGAAATGTTGATTGCTGGTGCTCGACGCCTACTCTACTTGTTTTCAGAATCTGAGATCGTCCTGAACTAGAACACTTAGGTCACCTTCCTGAGTGGCCTTCTCCAGTGTGTGATCTCTAATCCCATAAAAGCATGCCGGCTGGTGATGCAGGTGGATCAACTTGCACTTAGCTGTGTTCAACAGAAGCAAGTTCCTAGTTGACAATTCGAAAATACAATCTAGGTCATGTCAGATGAAATCGTGATCATCCTTGTAATTAATCGCCCGCCATATCTCGACATCGTCACTGCAAAGCAATAAATTTGAGGAGAAAACTCTTGCCAATTTCTTGATGAACACAAGCAAGGGACGCGGCAGCAGCATCAAACCCTGCGCGATACGTGAACCCAACTCAGTCGGGTTAGATAGTGATCCTCTGACACACAACTGAAGCCTCACATGCTCTTGATCATTCGCAACAAAGACACTGACCAACTCCGCTACATAGACGAATAATTAAGGGTTACTGCAAACAAGCTGTAGGTGGAGGCATATATTCGGAGCTCAGCAGGCTAAGGGCAAGGCGTTAGATGTCAACTATTTCGCCCAATCCAACTTATCGCCATTTTGCGAAACTCGTCCCTTTCGAAGAACAGCAGCTCGGAAACACCCAATATTACTCACGGAATTTCGTGGGGTAACATTATGTAATAGGTAAGTACTAACAGAAGGCAAATCCACTCTTGGACTGCCCTGGCAGATAAACCTGAGCATAATCACACCACTTTACTGCTGCGTCAGTGGACGTCGTTACATGGGCGGAACAGATGATGAAGAAGCGATATGAATCGGAGCGGCTTCGGTCCGACAATGCTGAGTAACCATGCAATTCTGAAGTGCCGTAGAACAAATACTTCCTCTGTACAACAACAAGCAGGGATCATAAATCGAGGGATGGCACTCGATTTATCGCTCACAATTTATTTCGCCTCCTATGTGGTAAGAAACCGGATAAAGCGGGTCCGGCACTTTTGTGAATAAGAGGACTGGAATATTGCTACTCACTTATAACTTCAATATTCAAGCCCATTGTTTGAGGATACAACCTCACCGGATGTTTTTACTTTTGCTGACACTTTAACATGAAATGTCTTCTGCATGCAATACCTCATGTGCTGGATGGTCATGATCTTAAGGAGGCAAATAAACAAGCATTAATTTACTAAGGCAGATTACTATGACTGAGCTTCCACGTGTAAGCTAACACAGGTAGCATATATCTGAGAAATTCTGATCTGTAGCATTTGCTTTGTAGCGATCTTATTCCCGTCACAATAAGCGCGAGTAGGACAATTACAATGTCTTGCAACCTGATGATCTTAAGACATTAGAATCAACCATATTGTAACCTGTTGCGATGTACCATTGTTCATTACTTGTGTTTGCCCCAAGGCAGTCGGGATGTGTTTCTGTTAACGCTGGTTTTATAAGAGACTCACTGGAACAAAATAACGAACATCCTATGGCACACATATTGGGACGGCTTCTTATGGATAAGATGTTGCTTGTATCGGTGTAGTTTCTCCATGTTATTCGCTGTATTCAGGCGCCAGCCGTCTTTAGTTTCCTATTGATGACCCTACCAAATGTTCCACTTGAAGGAGTCTTCTGGGTTTAATTAAGCACAGGTTTCGGGAAAACGGTCATAAATTACCAGCAGAGACAGACCAGAAGATTTCACTGGGAGACATTACTGACACACGCAGTGCCTTAACAGCTTAGTCCGCGTGGTTCTCTGCTCAATATTTATATTCCTCTTAGAAAGTTTCAAATCTCCAAGGGTTTCAAGGATAAACAGTGTGATGCAAGCATATTTAAAACTGCTACTATAAGTCAAAAGTAACTAGTGGTTGCTCCCGCTTATGGGACCATATAACGCTTGTCGATAAATGTAGAATGATTATTATTATTATTCTATTTATTTAACAACGTGGTTATATATCTCACATTTGCTGCTTCGGCTAACACGCGCATATACGAAGATTAGAGTAGACTGTCACTGCGGCATAATAATGATAGAGCACATTGATTGTGTACTGAATTGAAGTGATATTATCTGATCCAAGTTACCCTTTGCAGGTTCATGATGTATCACCTGCACAACTGAATATAATCGTGAATAAGCAACAAGGAGTTCACCAGGATTGTTTTGACACCACAAATTTAATGACAACCAGAATATGCTGGACAAAATCTGTAGGTAACAGTGAAGCGGTTGACGTTATCTGCCTCGAATTTTGCATTGCGCTGGAGTGAGTGCAGCGTCGCATGCTACCTTATAGTTACAATGTCTAAGGCACCGGCAACACTCTGCTTGGTAATACGTATTTCCTCCAACTTCAGTGTCATTTAATCATGAGCTTTCAGCACCATGTCGGATTCGGTAGAACTTCCTTGTGGGTTCACAGCTACTTCTGTAGATTATATGCAAACACATAAGAATGAACTTATGGAATATTTGCTCTTCCGAATGGGTACACCATCTATGGTTTGCGAGTGCGTAATTTGAGAACTACTCCCGTTTAGTGGAGCCAAATGCAATAGACTGAGCATACACCAGTGCACTCGTTAGTACTCAATATGGTGGCATACATGACACGGTTTTTCCATGAAACAGGCCTCGGATAAAAAATATGGAAGCTTTCCAAGACAGCGAAAAATCAAAGGAAATTGTTAGATGTTATCAACCTAGCTTACTAGTAGTCACCTCAGAACATGTGTCAATTAAATGCGGCAAACTGCAAACTGATGAGTCCACGCCAGCAGAGTATCCATGATTATTGACTTGGAGCGCACCTACGCGGCGTGCTTCTTATAATAGCAGCCTTGAAAGATTCCTACAGGATGACACAGGTTTCTCGCGTCAGGCACAGAAACAGCTAGAAGATATCAACAACCTACTACTTTCAAATATCAGCAATATGTAGGGCATTATTTACAGGCCTTGACCAATTCGACCCCCATCATCATTTGCAGGAACTCAGTGCCTAATTGAGATCTCACTTGGAACACACCATCTAGACTTGTTAAATCTGGTGCCTAAATGTATGTACTGAAGAGCGTTTAGAAACGCAACAGTAAGCAAAGTGTCGTCCTAATAACCTTGAAGGGCTAGGCACGCATGGCTTTTGTTATTGCCAGTCTTAACATTTAGAAGCCAGTAGCTGCTTTCTACGACGTTCGCAAACTCCATGGCGATGGAGAATAAACAGCGCTATATCTCAGTTGGCTTGTAATTTAATACGTTTTGCCATTGTCCTCCACGGCTGAGTGATTTAAGCTGCATGCTAGTGGTGCAAGCTGCTGACGGCCATTTGTTGGGTTTCTGAGGTAGCCAAAAACGAAAACCATTGACAAGCCCCAATGGGGTGAAACGGTCTTCTAGGGTTTTCCGGCTTGGTATTCAGACTAGTTAGTCTGCAGAGCACTAGGCAAAACCGTTAAATACAAAATCAAATGTTCCCCGCTTCCCATCAAACCACGAGAGTAGAGTAGACAATGTCGGAGGCGACTTGGCTGCCAAATAATTACTCCAATAAAGTGCGCCGTTTACCATCACTTGTAGAAATCTATTTTTGTAACTAAGCTTTATGAAAGGTCTTCCGTTACTCACGTTCCATTCCTAATATCAGTATTCAAAGAATTACTCAAATTTACACTGAGGCTACGTCTCGTTGCAGGTGGAAGTGCAAGAACGTTTAACTTTGCTTCCGAGCGTTTTTAACATTGTTCCCAAAAATTGTGGTGTGCGATTCACATATATGTTCATATGCGCTCTGCTTGGGTCCAAAGACACGACTTAGCTTAATGACACATTCTTGAATCAAAGAATTCTCACGGCAACTCTCCTGCGGAATCTTTCAATAACCGCTATTTTACCTTCGGTAAATCATGGTCGATTGAATACCAGCCATTTGTTTGCTTCATATTTTGACTGTTTTGATTACAAAGCACCAAATGGAGTCTAGGTGACTACTTCCCCATCGGATCACTCCAGGCTAATGGGAGACAAACCAAAATCTCGTAGTTAGTGCGCCACTCCTATTGGCTCATGGCGTGAAGGTCGATACCGGACCTGGATTACCGTCTGAAGTTGCGTAGTCGTGATGGGATTGGTCCGCTATGAGCCATACCCTTGTCGACAGACAGATGAACCATACCAATGGGAAGGGCGATGAATTAAAATAAAGCTAATACGTCTCCTCCATGTTAAGTCCACTGCGCCCGAATGATAAGCGACAAAGTTATTGGGATCACTTAAATTTTTATCTCTCAGGACTAGGAGTTCCTTTGAGTGAACCGCATGTTGCCTATTATCCTCGCGTTTAATACGCTGAGTGGATCTTCATTAAAACTCACCCGTGGACCATTTATTGCTTTACTCGTAAACCTTCGAATAATTGCCTCTTAAAAATGTGGACAGTTTGTTGTGGTATTGGTCTAAAGAAGAAAAGCAAAATGGTGCAAAATGATAAAACCGCAGAATGCAAACGCGCGCGAAGCATTACCCCAGAACAAAACGAACACTTAGTTCTTCCAGAGTCTTTTGATGGGATAAAGATACACGACGAACCTATCATAAACGGAGGCTATTTGAAACATGAACGACGAAGTTTACCTGATGTGGTTATTCCATCCACTGTCATTTCTGCCAGACGATTATTTGGTGATCAACGTCCAAGCTTTCAGATAGATTCTGAGACCGGAAGGCGTCCGACTTTGGATATTGAAGCCACAGCTCTGCTGGCTAAATCGGAGAGTATAGGATTTGATAGCTCCGACGAAGGTCTCAGAAGGCTACTTTCAACTCGACATAGCGACACGGACGCTGTATATCACAGAGTTGAGGGCTTAGGAAAACAATTATTTCAGGACTCATCACCGACCAAAGAATTAACTAAAAATGGTTGTTTTCAGAGTCCACCGAAGACCAATGTAGTCGTGAATACTAAAAGATTTAACTTCACCCGGTTGCTCTCCCACAGCCTTACTAAAACTCTGTCTAGAAAACGAAACATCCAAAGACCTGCTGACAGTGAGAGCTCTCCTTCAGTAAAATTCCCTCAACATGTGAGTAAGGGTGGTGGAACATCAGAAACGTCGGTATCCAAAGATGATGATATATCTGACCTTGAAGGTTCCAAAGACAGTTTGGGGCAACTTCCATCCTCCGGAAGGCCCGGATTAGGTCGACTCAATGTAAAAGTTCTTGATTCATGTGTACATGGGTTGAAAGACAAATTCCCGTCAAGTGACACAAGCACGGGAGATAACAGACCGTTTGTTCGAACTTCAGATAATTTCCGAAGGGGTTCCCTTTGTATTTTCAGTCATCTGGAGGAACCCATCGTTACTCCGTTTGCACAAATTCTGGCAAGTCTTCGAAGGGTCCGAGCCAATCTTATTCTGCTTATAAACGCAACAAGCTCAAAAGAGTAAGTTGAAATTCGAACCGATTTTTGTAACCTGACGCTAACTAATGTATCTCAATGTGAACATTATACGGTTAGTTACACTTGTCGCTTCAATGCATTTCAGCTAAATTAACAGTAAAGCACTTTGATTTGGCATTCAATGAGAAGAATAAATGGTAGACAAGTCCCGCCACTTTAGCTTTCAAACTAGAATCTACCCTGCACGATTTGTTTTCACCGCTCTCATGGACGGCCTGCTGTATTATAACGGCTAGGAAGTTGGTTTGAAGAACGCAGTGTAAAAGGGCTCGCTTCATTCCACAAAAACATAAGGTGAGCAGGTGACTTAAGTTATGTATCTCTCAAACGACGTATCGAATTTCAAACAAGCACAGTGAGACAATTTGTTTGTTCTGTGCCTAAGCCATAGCAGCTCCAATCAGTTTTGATATTCCGCAGTGTAACTATGCTTACTAGGAGCATGAGAGGTTTCTCACGCCTTAGTGTTGTGGTTCTCAAGCTTTTTGAGTTTGTTAATTCCAAAACGGTTTCTATATAAACAGTTAATCCAAAAATTGTTATATTTCAAAAGCCCAATTAACCCTTGTAAATTTGGTCTAATTTACAGAACATTCAATGTTATGGTATCCTTCTAATAAAGAAGTCGTCTATTTTGTGTAATGTTTAATTAAATCGAGAGGTGATTGTAAATGAAGCAGTTGATGTTGCTTAGTTCCAACCATTTACGGCAAATTTGGTTTGATTTCGGATAAAGCACATCGTAAGTCGTGTTCCAATTTGATTATTGATATTTGATCAAACATGGACAGATTTCATTTGTTTCAACCATCTCTTCCAAGTCCGTTATAGGTGACAAGATTCCACCACCACTATGTATCGATACTTTCCGTACCCCAATCGCTTGTTTTGTTCCTGATACCCTGTACAAATTAGATCCCTCCTATACCACCTGGTCGACTGACCTAGGTTCCCACTTTAGTGTTCACTTAACTCTGTAATTCGACCCGGCGGAAGACTGCCTGAATTAAAGGAACAACGATCAGCGAGGGAACCGACAAAGGCGCCATCCAGCTGCGCTGCTTTGTAGACATGCATTCGTAGGTTAGATAATAAAGCTTACTATTGAAAATGGACTAATTCGCTGTACACTCACAAACGAGTAGGCACTGATGGTAAATTAATATTATTCATGTAGTTAGCTAGTTGTGTTGATACAGATGACTGTTATTAAATCTGTTTGGCGAAAAACTGAGAACCCGGTCCTCGTACTTATACTTACCCCCTTAAAATCCATTTTACCCCCTTGGGAGTAATTACCCTAAGGTTGAGAACTACTGCCCTAGTTAATACGTATTTCACTATACGGTAGTGGTTAAAGAAGCGCAGATACACGCCGTTACCGAGGAAACGAAGATACTCGAGATTCAATAACACAACAAAAGCGATTCAGGAAACTTTGCGCTTAGATCAGTTGCTATCCGGAAATCTATCTCTGCACTGCATACCGCATGTGCAGTTGAGACAAAATTGGATTGCATGCACACACATATTTGGCAAGTCACCAAATAATTGACTGGGTGCCGTCCTCTTATCTGTCGGTGTAGATTCACTCCATTTATACACTCCTTGTCATGCTCTTCTGACTTCCAAGAACCTCTCCTGTATGTACACTAATGCTTGGGGCCTACTTAATAGACCTCCAGAACTGCGAGTCCGTCAGAGTTCAAAGGTCTGTAATCGTCACTATAATGAAAACATGGTTACGCCCTTACAGAATTGGCTTCAAGGTCACGCTGCTAGGTATGTCCGTTATTTGGCACAACCAACACAATAAGGGCGGTTGGGTAGCTGTGTGCTTCCGCGGTGACCTCCAGCATGGACCCTTAGAGAATTCGGCAAATATGCTAGGAGATTCCTCTTGGCGCCGTCAACCGTTAAGAGATGAGGACGCCTGTTTGGTGTTGATCATTTACCGTCACCCTTCCTTCACTCTATAGATGGACATCGATCGTTCATCCGCGATGAAGAGTGTGATACAAATAATTACAGTTGCATTCTTATTACTAGCGATTTCAACCTCTATACTCTGGAATCCCAAGCTGCTCCTGGACAACTGTTCAAGGCGGATCTACAAAAGATTGTTTCGTCTCCTGATTTGTGACTATATAAGCATTCACCAGCTTTGGAGAGACAGTCTATACTGTATCGGATATGCACCAACGAAGAACTCATAATTGACAAGGTGCAGTCAATGTCCTTTTAGGTCACAGTAGGTAGTTTTCTGAATGCACCTGTTATGCAGAATATACCTTGGAAAGTACCAACGCAGACAGCTATTGTACGCCACGAAATATTAGCTCAACATGTTGAGCCAGACAACTGGATCTTCCTGGCAGTCTACGCACCAACTAGCGTATGGCAAGATTTGGTGGACTAGCTTAACACACTTGCTCTCGAAGCATCAAAAAATAATGCTGTCCACTCGAGGAACGTGAACTCGTCTATAAAAGTATCATACTTACCTGCTATTAACGAAGCGCAGCTGCAAATTATTTAGCTATGTTATCATGGTGCCGTGTATTTATTTTGTGGAAACAGCGGCATTATTCAGTTTTATTTCTTATCCTGCCATTTTTAAATCATATTTCTGCAGTGCCTTCCCGCAGATTTCGAAGTTCCATCTTGCAAATTCTACCTTACATTTCTGCGTAGCTTTTACAACATTCTGCTAAAATGGCAAAGAAATCCCTTTATAGATGTTACTGGAAAAATTTTAGACGCACGGCGAATACCCATACATGTTTTAATCGCAATGCTAGATTTCAGATTTTGTGTATTAGGTTACCTGCTGAATCCTATTACATCTTGCGTTCCACTCACCATTTATCCAAATTTCGTGCAAGGACTGCCACAGTCTAAAGCAGCTAGAGAAACATCTAACGTCTACCGATGCAAACCGAAAACAAAATGTATAATTGTGGTATGTTTTGGACAGATTGTCACGCAGATTTAGTCTATATTTCATCTGAGATTCAACGCCGTCTTCCTATCATTCCTCTCCCGCTACCCTCCAACAATACATTGCACTGCCTTCTTAGGGTTTCCAGAAATATGACACAAAACTGAAACTAATGATCCCCTGACTTTGTGCTTTGCTAACTCTAATGGTCCAGATGAATATCCAATGGTTGAAGAGCAGTAGAACATTCAATGACGGAAGAAGCCACGAGAAGAAGCGAAGCTTCCAGTTGTTAATGAATATAAATCCCAGGTCAATCAAGACTCCAAGCTGCCTTCCTACCACATGAACTACTTTGTTTGATAAGAAAGCCCTCGAATGTGATGGTTGTTCATGCGCAAGAGTCCAACGATCCAACTCTTCAAGCACACTATGATTGTGATGTTTTTACAGAGTCTGGTTGACAGACTCCTTTATATGGGTAAAGACTGAGTGAAAGTGAGGCAAGTCACCTACCTCGACACATCACTGCTTAGAATGCGCGGATAAGTTATGCGAACGATGCCTGCCAGAAGCTAATACTGCCACGGCTGTGTAGACTGAGAGGCGAGAGGAGGTAAATTCGTCCGGATAATAATCAAGCAAACAGGCAGCACCAAAAGTTTGCTATTAAAAGCTAAAGCGGCGAACCAGTGATAGAGAACTAAATCTACTTTTGGTAAATGTTCGGGTGCTAACAACATGAACGCGAATTCGGGTAAATCTTCAGACACGCCCGGTGAAAACCTCCGGGCGTGGCGTATGGCATTTACTAACGTCTGTAGCATGGTAAACAAGCGCGATTCTCCGTGTTGCTTCGTTGCTTCCGAGTGACCAAACGTAATGGGATTCATGGAGACGTGTTTGAACGATGAGGTACTCAAAAAAAGCTGAGCATAGTAGCCGTTATTACTTGCGTCTTGCTAGGCTATCAAATTCACGCCGTGGAGTCTTGCTCTACATCCGGTCTTCTCTTTGCGGGAGACTTGGAAGCGTTCACAAAGCGAAGATGGCCTACGTGAGCATTAGTGGTGCCGATCTACCTCACGTGCGGACAGCTACTAGTAGATGTATATAATTTCAGACCACTGAGCCGTTGTTTGCATTGCCTGCCGCGTCTTCGAGATCATATGAGTTGCCTCCACTTTCCGCTCATGGGCGATGTTAATTTTCTTCAAATACGCTGGTCTGAAGTTCAACTTACCACCGGATATTATAAGGCCGAAGCAAATTTACTGTATTGGGACCTCAAACTTTTGCACGCACAACACGCCTTCCAGCCGACGCACATAACAGTGCGCTCAAGTTCATCGTTCTTGGGTTAATGGTAACCAGATGTAAACAGCATGTATATGATACTCCGATTATTGAACATTGAGCAAAAAGTGAACAGACAATTCTTATTGCCAAACTGAAGCTAACGCTGCAGCGTTACCACGAACTGACGTCAACTTAAACTACAGTAAGAAGGAATTCTATGTTCTGAGTTGAATCGCGAGCCAGGTGGATCAGTCTCTGCCTCCAGCTGCACATGTTGAAGCTGGCTGGTCACTTATAAAGGAGAGAGTTAACCCATCGTTTAACCGATTTGTGCTTCCTTTGCGTTAGAAATTCGGGCTAAATAGAGCACAATAGTTCAGTGAGAACTAACTCAAGCTGGCTCGGCGGAGATACAGATTCTAGGACAAATTCCTGGCTCAGTCAACAACCACGAGGTGTATCAAAGCAGTGATATGCTAGTAATAGTGTAAAAGTGATCCGTCTCCAGCATTTTATATAGCAAGTGACAACGGCCGCAACGACCGCCCAGAAGGGAATCTTTGTTCAAGTGAAGCGGCACTAGAAGCCGACAGGTGACTTACTAGTTATAGGGAGAACTGACAGATTGCGCTTTACTTCCAGTGCTCAGCGTGAGTCCACGTTGAAGATGCACGTCGCTTCTGTACTTGCGGATGTCTTGCTGTCTGTAACGAAGTTGGTTTGTAACGCCGTTACCGAAATC